ATTCCCTGCAATCTGTTATTTGGGTCATCACAGACCTATTTTCTAAACAAGATCCCAACAGCCAAAGCCTTAGCAAAATTATTCCTGATACACATTTATCATTTACATGGAGCTCCTCAGAGAATAATTTCTGATAGGGGGGTCCAATTCACATCAAAATTTTGGAGGATGTTCTTAACACTACTTGGCACCGCCCAAGACTTAAGCTCATCACATGACCCGATGACTAATGGCCAATGTGAAAAAACAAAAGGGGTGCTAGAACAATATTTTAGGTGTTTTATTAATTATCAACAAAATAACTGGACTGAACTATTACCTTTTGCAGAGATAGCATTCAACAACTCCGTACACTCTAGTACAGGCTACACCCCTTTTAAAATAGCTACAGGCCAAGATATCACCCCCATGCAAGAACTACCAATGGAAACACTCATCATCCCTTTCCTGAAGGAATGGATGGAAATCCTACAAAACACTTGGCCTGTAGTCAAATTAGCACTAAAGGATGCTAGAGAAACATTTAAACACCAAGCAGACAAGAAGAAAACACAACCAAAACCTTTCCAAATAGATGACAGACAGAGGTGGGTTTCAGCAGGTTCTGACTAGTTCTGGAGAACCGGTAGCGGAAATTTTGAGTAGTTTGGAGAACCGGTAGTAAAAATTCTGACTGGCCTCGCCCCCATCAATTCTCCGCCTCCCAAGTCCCAGCTGATCAGGAAGAAATGGGGATTTTGCAGTAACCTTCCCCTGGAGTGGGGAGGGAATGGAGATTTTACAGTATCCTTCCCCTGTCACACCCACTAAGCCACGCCCACAGAACCGGTAGTAAAAAATTTTGAAACCCACCACTGGTGACAGAGTATACTTATCCACAAAATTCTTGCAAACACTACAACCCTGAAAGAAATTAGGGCCAAAATTTGTGGGACCATTTCCAATCACTAGAATCATCAACCCAGTGATAGTAGAATTAGCACTCCCCAAAACACTCAGACAAGTACACCCGGTCTTTCACATTAGCCTGTTAAAAAGAGAAGTCACATCCTCACTTACGCCTCAAACCCATGCACCACCCACACTCATAATGGTTGAGGGTAAGCAACATTTTGAAATCAAAGACATCCTCAATTCTAGAATCCACCGAGGGAAAACCCAATACCTGGTAGCATGGAAACACCTACCCCCTTCCCAAAAGTGGGTGTGGGTGGACAAAAAACACATCATTGCCCCCACACTCTTAAAGAAATTCTACACCCAATACCCTCACAAACCTTGCAAAAATACTATAATGGTTCTTCTCTTTATCTCTTACAGGTGGATCTATCTTTTTTCTAAGAAGGGAGGTATGTCAGATCCCTAATGTGATACTGCCATTCAAATGGAGGGAAGGAGGAACATGGGGATAAGCTGTATTTTATAACCTTTTTCCTGGCGCCTAAGCACTCTGCAATATTCTCACCATTTGGGAATGAAATAAGGAGGGAGGGTCATGTGGATTGTGTCAGTTGGTTGAAAGTGGAAGAAGACCATGGGAATGGATCCTTATCTGGTTCTCCGGATGACTGTTGCAATAAATATCTTCACACCTGTGGATTGGCTAAATCCACATTCAGACTGGAGGAGAGGGACTCTAAAGTCTTATTTCTAACTGTATAGTTTGGGAGGGAATTTAGAGTCTGCTTCGCCTGTTCTGCTATCACTTCTTCTCAATAAAAGGTTCCTTTTGAAATACCGCGTTTTAAGAGTCTATATTTTCTTGGGAAAGGAGGAGAGGCAGGTCCTTACAGGGAATGAAGAAAAGGCAGTCTGGTGGATGGGGGGATGGTGCAGAAATGCAGCCAGCAGGCAAACAGGTGGTGAAGACAGACTGAGCATAAGCAACATTGGACACTGGGACAATTCAGCAGCCACCAAAAATGATTGGTAGGGCACAAGCAGGCAGGAAGGCAGCTGCTACCACGTGGGCACGGGCAAGCAGTGGACATGGTAGAATAAAGCAAGTCAGAAAGGGAAGCCGAAGGAAAGAAAAGGAGAGGTGCCATGAATAGGGCTCAGGGCTCACTTCTGGCTGGTGGTCACCATAAGAAGGCAGAGAAATTGATGACTAAATACTTAATTTTTAAGAAAAACTGTGATTGGGTTTAACAATGTTGCCTGCTAGGCGAACTATGCTTATGCTGGGAACAGTGGTCAGATGTTATCAAAAAACTGTCCCCAAGTTGAGACACACTCCAAAAGGTCATAGGAGCGATTTTCTACCAACCTTCTAGTAACATTTCACAGAAACATAAGCATCAGCTTGGTAGTGGACACCTGGATTATTCTTTTGTCCTGATGTCACCAGCTCCAAAGTCATGTTCCACATACTAATCTCCACAGGATTAGATGTGCATCCTTTGGAGGAACTGATGATAATGAAGCCCTCTGCCTTCCACAGAATCAGCATCTGCCTTTCTATCCCACCATCTTTTCTACCTGCCTTTAAGTCTAGGATCATACAAGATGGCCAACATTTATGCCCTTTGATGGACCATTTGTTCTATGTACTTTATTATGTTTCCCAAGAATGCTGCCTGCTATACTGAGTGAGGGAAACTGGATACTGATTACTCTGCCACCTCTTCCTTTCTATTTAATCCCTCTCATGGATGAATTACTGTGGCTTAGTAAAATACTCTCTGTATCTTTCATATGCATCAGTTCCTCTTCTCTTGTCATAGTTGGGAGGGCTTATTAGGCTGCATTGCTCCTCCTCTAGAGCCACTCACGGACTTGGAGTCCTGGCAGTTCTGTTAGTCCCCTCCTCACATTTCTTGGAGTGCTGTACTATGGAGGTAGTCCTTGATTTATAAATTCATTTAGCAGCCGTTCAAAATTACAGTAGCACTGAAAAAGGTTATTTACAACCAGTCCTTGCATGTATGACCTTTGCAGCATCCCCATGCTCATGTGATCAGAATTCAGGCACTTGGCAACCAGCACTTTTATGATAGTTGCAGTGTCCCAGGAACGTGTGATCACTATTTGCAACTTTCCCAGCTGGCTTCTGAAAAAGAAAGTTAATAAGGGAAACTGGATTTGCTTAACGATCACATGATTCACTTAACAACTGCAGTGATTTGCTTTAACTACAGTGGCAGAAAGGTCGTAAAATTGAAGAAATCATGATGATTCAGGATGATCCATATTCAAATCAGGTCACTTTGGAGGGGATCCTATTTCATTTGGAGAGCCATAAAAATAACCTGACATGTTCCAGTCTGGTTAAAGATTCAACTGAATCTAAAGAACTTTCCCCATTTTTCCCCAGCATATCAATTTGCACAGGATATATGAGGCTTCGCCTTGAAAAGTTACTGATAGGTGTGGCAGAAGCTATCTCCAAAGATGACACTCTTCCCCATTTGGTAAAGAAAATGGATTTTGTTGTCCAGCTATAGTTTCCTCTTTCTCTCTGAGCTTCAGAATTTAGCCAGTATGCAGACAAATTGAGATAATCCATTCCCTTCATTTTCATATGGGCCACTTTCTGATGCTGCAGTCTGGAATATTTCTATATTAAAAGATTTGGGGGGGAAATTGGAACTTTTAATGTTATACTGTATATGTTAATGGCAACAAGATTACTTTATGTAGAAAAATGGAAGGATGCTTTAATCCCCACAATGGATGAATGGCTGCAAAAGCTGATGGAGTTAGCAGAGATGGCTAAACTATTTTGATAAAAGAAAAAAAAACACAAGTACTTTTGTTTCTATTTGGAAACTGCTTCAGGCTTGAGCTGGAAAAGAATTAAACTTTGATTTTAGGTTTTACTGATTAGATAGATTTGTTGTTATAGAAATGGCTAGTTTATACCAGGGGTGAAATGTAAAATTTGCTACTACCGGTTCTGTGGGCGTGGCTTGGGGGGGTAATGTGACTGGGTGGGCGTGGCCAACTTTTTTTTTTTTTTTTTTTTACTTTTCAAAGCATTTTTTCTGCAAATGCAAAAAATGCTTTGAAAAGCCTCTGCCAATCAGGAACACAGCTGGGATCGTCAGAGCCTTTTCAAAGCATTTTTTTAACCACCTCTTCCGCTGAAGAGGTTGCAGAAAGAAATGCTTTAAAAGTCTCTCTGACGATCCCAGCTGAGTTGCCTATCGTTTTAAAAAATGCTTTGAAAAGTCTCTGTGACCATCAGGCAACTCAGCTGGGATCGTCAGAGAGACTTTTAAAGCATTTTTTTCTGCAACTCTTCCGGGAAAGAGGTGGTTTAAAAAATGCTTTGAAAAGGTTCTGACGATCCCAGCTGTGTTGTCTGATTGTCAGAGCCTTTTCAAAGAATTTTTTAAACCACCTCTTCCCTAGAAGAGGTTGCAGAAAAAAATGCTTTGAAAAGTCTCTGACATCCCAGCTGAGGTGCGCGATCATCAGAGGCTTTTTTTTTACTTTTAAAAGCATTTTTCCCCCCGGAAGAAGTTGTAGAAAAAAATGCTTTAAAAAGTTTTTTTAAAAAAGCCTCTGATGATCGTGCGGCTCAGCTGAGCATGGGGGGGGGGTCCGCAGGGATTTTTGCTACCGGTTCTCCGAACCACCCGCCGCCATCGCTACGGGATCGGGTGATCCGGTCCAAACCGGGAGCATTTCACTCCTGGTTTATACTAGTATGTAAAAGTAAGAAGTTGAGGTTCTATGTTACTTCTTATTCTACTGCATCAAAGAGAGTGGGAAGTCAGTGACTTTTCTTTCTTTTTCCCTTCTTCTCTACACTGTTCTCTTCCCTTCCCCCCCCCCCGTTTTTCCTATTATTTGCTTTTGTATTTTTGTATTTTATATTATAAACTAATAAAAAGAAAAAAAGAAAAAGAATACCTCTATATTAATAACTTTACAGCAACATCCACAATAACTTATTGATAAATTTTTTGTTTTTCTAAATACTGTGTAGCATTTCTCCCCAAAATTTCTATGCTTCAGTTTAATTTTTTTATTCTTTTTCTCTTGCATCAAAGTGATGAAGATGAACTCAGGAAGTCATTATCAGAATTGGTGGATGATAAATTTGGTGCCAGTGCAAAGAAAATCACAAGGATAGTGGATGGCAGTAACCCTTTCCTGGATGCTCCCCAGGCCCAGAATGCTGTTACCTACAAGCATGGCATCCTCACTCGGAAAACCCATGCTGACATGGATGGGAAGAGAAGTAAGTCTTAACTGGGGAGGACGAGATCAGGACAAGATTGATATGATGAAATAACAATTTGAGTCTATGATGCATTTTTAACTGTCAGTGCAACTAAAGACGGAATAAATAATCTTTACCATTAATTAATTTTGTGGCTGTTATTAATTATTTCACAGCTTTGCACATATGAAAGCATCATCTCCATCTCCTCATTTTATATTACTCTGGCAACTTTCAGGTTCAATTACCTTTCCTTTCGGTTAAGTTCAAACCAACAGGATTTAAAAATCCTAGTTTCATGTATCACATTAACATTAAATCCATCTTTTAATCATGTTTTTAATGAGCTACAATGACTAAGTTTACACATGATTCCAAGTCAAAACTAAGCCAATTACAACCAATGAAATAGTTACCATTCTTGTTTGTTGATAGCTTATAACTTCCATTGTCAATGTACCACCACAGAATCAATAATCTTTGATTATGATAGTTTTAAAAACTGTTTCATATGCCCAAGTTGTAATTCAAAGGTTCATTCAAAAGGTAACCCGATGACTAGGCTCTTACTTTATACTAATGTGTTTTGTTTCAAATTAGCTCATTGTGCAGTGGAAAGCCATGGTTAATGGCTAACCCACACTATGTAACATGCTATGATTAAAGCAAACAGTATCTTAGAGCATAATCACTACCAACATGTGATTCTTGGATTCCATTGAAGAAATATGAGAGGAAGCCCTTGGAAAGTACTTTCCACACCATTGTTTGTAGCAGAAAGTCTTGAACTCATTTTACATAGAAAATAACTGCTGTTGGAAGAAATATCTATCTGGTTCAGTTCCAAGATGGGATAAAGACACTGGAAATATGGAGGCTGATTGGAAAAAGGGTTTAATGGTGAACAGAACCACCAAGCACATAGTCCTGGTGCAGCTGACCACACTGAGTTGAGAGTGAGGGGTATATATATACCTTCTCTTGGGCTTTGCACTTGAACTTCCTGTTCCTGTGCAAGAACTTTGTAGGTTGTCTGAGTCCCAGGTTTGGTTGGAGTTTACTGGGTGATGCAATGTCCCCAGGTGATTGTGCAATGTGGTGAGCTCTGCTGCTAGATGGGTTAATCCTATTATATCATGGAGGGTCATGTCTTAATCCCATCAACCTGGAGCTGGAGATCTTTTGTCTTGTAGATAGGCTGGCCCAGTCCTGCTGGGGTTATTAAGAAAGGTGGGGACTGTTTTCCAAGAGCATGTTTCTCCTTTAGGGAAATATAATAGTCTGCCTTTTTAAATATTTCTCAAAATATTTCATTCTTCTAAGAGGGATGACTTCTCTCTCTACAATACATAAAATTGTGTGTTATTCTTTGAAATGTTGATAATTCCAGATTAAAACAATTCCAGTTAACTCAATTTCCTATTGATTAAAGGGAAAGCAGGGAAACACATGTAATTTTTTTGTTTTACATTATCAGCAATCTATGCAGAAAAAGCTTAGAGTTCAGAGGCCGTTTACTATTTTTTGTGCATTGTCTTTTGAATACCTTGGTAGTGGGTGATATCTAGCTTAATCATGCTTTTTTTTCTTTTATTCCTATCATGGACTCTGTACCACTGTTTCTCATGTTTTTGTTTTTGGCATGGTCCAAGAGAGACCTCTCATTCCATTTTTCGCTTGATAATTCGAAAGTGTTCCTTTCATATTTTCTCCTATTTATTTTAAAAGTACAGGTAGTCCTTGAGTTACAACCAGAACTGAGCCAAATTTATGTTGCTAAGTGAAACATTTATTAAGTGAGTTTGCCCCATTTTACAAATTTTCTTGCCACAGTTGATAAGTGGATCATTGCATTTGTTAAATTAGTAAAATGGTTGTTAAATGAATCAGGCTTCCCCATTGACTTTGCTTGTAGAAGGTCGTAAAAGGTGATCTCATGACCCCAGGACATTGCAACCATCATAAATGTGAACCAGTTGCCAAGCATTTGAATTTTGATCCTGTGAGCATGGGGATGCTACAATGGTCATGTGAAAAATGGTGGTCAGTAACTTTTTTTAGTGCCATTATAACTTTGAACAGTCACTAAACAAACTGTTGTAAGTCAAGGACTACCTATACGTTTTCATGTTTGTTAAATTGAAAATAAACGTTTACATATATTATTGATCGCTGGTTCAGTTTATTAGTCTCTCTTATCTTGTTTTTTTTTTTTATGAATTGCATTTGAAACCTTTCTGTGGACTTTTCTTGTGATTTCACATGATAATCGTTAGATTAGATTAACAGGGTTGGAAGGGACCTTGTAGATCATCTAATCCAACCCCTCGCCCAAGCAGGAGACTCTACACCATTTCTGACAAATGGCAGTCCAATCTCTTCCTGAAAGCCGCCAATGATGAAGCTCCCACAACTTCTGAAGGCAAGCTGTTCCATTGTTGATTGTTCTCACTGTCAGAAAAATTCCCTTTATTTCTAGGTTGGATCTCTCCTTGGTCAGTTTCCATCCATTATTCCTTGTCTGGCCTTCAGGTACCTTAGAAAATAGCTTGATCCCCTTCCTCTCTGTGGCAGCCCCTCAAATATTGGAAGACTCCTATCATGTCTCCCCTGGTCCTTCTCTTCAGTAGACTAGCCATGCCCAGTTCCTATAACTGTTCTTCATATGTTTTAGTCTCCAGTCCCCTAATCATCCTGGTTGCTCTTCTCTGCACTTTTTCTAGAGTCTCAGCATCTTTTTATAGTGTGGTGACCAAAACTGGATGCAGTATTCTAGGTGTGGTCTTACTAAGGCTTTATAGAGCGGTATTAGTACCTCACTTGCTCTTGATTTTATACCTCTGTTAATGCAGTTTAGGATTGTATTGGCTTTTTTGGCTGCCGCTGCACCGCTGCACACTGCTGGCTCATATTTAGCTGGTTGTCCACTAAGACTCCAAGATCCCTTTCACAGTTACTGCTATTAAGCCTGGTTTAACCCAATCTATATGTGTATTTTTGGTTTTTCTTGCCTAAGTGTAAGACTTTACTTTTCTCTACATTGAATTTCATTTTGTTAGATAAGGCCCAGTGTTCAAGTCTGTCAAGATCCATCTGGATTTTGAACCTATCATCTAGGGTGTTAGCTATTCCTGCCAGCTTAGTATCATCCGCAAATTTGGTAAGTTCCCCTTCTATTCCCTCATCTAAGTCATCTAACATCATCTAAGTCGTTTATGAAGATATTGAAGAGTACTAGGCCTAAGATGGAACCTTGTGGTACCCCACTGCTTACTTCCCTCCATGTAGATGTAATACCATTAAGGATTTGAGTATTGGGTATGGTTTGGGTATGGTTTGTCAGCCAGTTACAAATCTATCTGATGGTGATGCTATCTATCCCACTTTTTTCTAGCTTACCAAGAAGTAGGTTGTGGTCTACTTTGTCGAATGCCTTGCTGAAGTCTAAATATATTATGCTCACAGAATTTCGTTGGTCTACTAATTTAGTCACTATGTTGAAAAATGAAATAAGATTGGTTTGGCATGATCTGTTTTTAACAAACCCATGCTGACTGCTAGTTATTACTTTACTAGTTTCTAGGTGTTGGCAGATCTGTTTTTTTATTATCTTTTCCAGTATCTTCCCGGATATTGATGTTAGGCTGATTGGTCTGTAGTTTCCTGAGTCAGTTTTTTTTTCTTTTTTGAAGATGGGAACCACATCAGTTCTTTTCCAGTCCTCCGGTAGTTCCCTGGTGCTCCAGGATTTTTGAAAGATGATGTGCAGTGGTTCTGAGATGACCTCTGCCAGCTCCTTTAGAACTCTGGGGTGTAATCCATCAGTCCTGGTGATTTGTGTTCATCAAGATAAGACTGGTGTTCTCTCTCTCTCTCTCTCTCTCTCTCTCTCTCTCTCTCTCTCTCTCTCTCTCTCTTTTTTTTTTTTTTTTGCTTATTTTAACTTTTATTTCTAGTCTGTCTTTTACAGTTACCTTTTTGGTAGGTTGGGCTATAGTTTCTTTTTGCGTGAAGACCGATGCAAAGAATGAGTTAAGCAGCTCTGCTTTCTCTCTGTTGCCTGTTAGTTCCTTGTCGTCTTCTCTCTTTAGTGGACCAACTGTTTCCTTGATTTTTTTCTTGTTATTTATATGTTGGAAGAAACTTTTTTATTATCTTTGACTTTTGTTGCAAGTCTTTGTTCATTCTGAACCTTTGCTTTCCTGACTTCGTCTTTGCAGATTCTGGCTATTTGCTGATATTCTGCCTTAGTTTTGTGTCCCTCTTTTCTGTAGTCATGGGATATATTTATCTATCTTTTTCAGCTCCAAGAGGACGAAGGGGATGGAAGAAATTTTATGCTGTGCTTAAAGGGACCATACTGTATTTGCAAAAGGTAATTATGGTTGATAAACTCCTTTTACCATAGAATGATATTTTCTCAAGGCAAGGATTTATATTAAACCTAAAATGCCCAATGGATTGATATTAGGAGAAATGTAATGTAGGAAGAAACCTACAAAATCTAGTCTTAAACCATGGCTCTGGAAATTCACAAGTTTGCTTTATAGGCAGCATGTCAGCTAAACATTTCACTTTGTGAACCAAAGGAAAAGAAGGGTACTCATAGACATACGTTCATGTTCCAATTTCAGAAACCAAATGGCTTAGCTAATGATAATTGCTGCAACAATACAAATGGGATGGGCTTGTCCATAACAATTGAGGTTACAGGCTAATAATGACATTCCAAAATGATTGGCATGGCTATGGGGCTTAGGAACAATTTCTGGGAATTTGCTCCTGGGAATAGTGCCCCCCCAGCATCTGTGCCTCTGATATTTGGTCCCCACTACCTAAACATAAGGCCATCTTTGACCCTATTACTTATCTGACTTTCATGAACAGTACAGGTTATTCTTTTTCCATATATTCAAAATGCCATCGATGCTGTAGTCCCATCTTTAGTACAGGGGCAATCAATTTCTCCTCCTAACCATATGTCACAGAACTGTTTTGTCACAGGAGTCTGTGTGTGTATGTTTTGTGTAAAGACCTAATTAAAGGAGGATGGTTTTTGCACACAGAATTTAACAAAAATCTTGTTTGAATTCCTGAGAATTCAGAGGGAGACGGGGGGGGGGGGATTAGGTCCCATGATATTGAATATTATCATCCAGCTTCTACTTTGCCATTTACAACCAGTCACTAGTAGCTCCAAAGCTCTTGTAGCTCCTGTTCTTATTTGGAAGGTAACATGCAAAAAGTGATGCTGACAGATTTACCTTTTGGTCATTAGTCTTGGGATGCTTCATTATTCTTTTTTTTTAAAACTCATTTTTTTTTTTTGTTAAACACATATTAAAACATTGGACACAGTGTAACTGTTCTGGCATTATCTTTGCCATACATAAACAATAAGTATCAAATATACCTTGCTACTTATATACATTTGGTCTATTCAGTATTTACACGTATAAAGACATCATTTTTCTATCTATATTACTTATACATTTGTCTTATCCTCTTTCATTCTATTGTAATTACATACATACCCTTAGTTCTCTATTCTATAAATTCTAGTCAGTTCATATTTTTCATCCCTCCTTTCCGTTCCAACCATTGATAAAATTTGTTCCATATCTTATAATAACCTGACTCACCTTTATTTTTCAATTCCAAAGTTAATTTGTCCATTTCTGCACATGTCAAATTTTTTTTGATCACTTCATCTTCTAGAGGGATTTTCTTATTTTTCCAATTTTGGGGAAAAATCATTCTTGCTGCTGTTGTAATATGTATTATTAAATAAATTACCCCTTTACTATATTTCCCATTTATAATTCCCAATAGGAATAGTTCTGGTTTATATTCTATTTCTTCTCCAATTACTTCTGTCAACCATAAATGAATTTTCTGCCAATATTCCTTTGCTTTTTTACATGACCACCACATATGGTAGTACGTGCCTGATTCGTGATTACATTTCCAACATTTGGGTGATAAATTTCTAAACAGTTTTGCCAATCTCACTGGTGGAAGATGCCACGTGTAGAACATTTTGTATAAATTTTCTTTATACGATATTGCCAATGTTATTTTCCCATTTTTGTCCCATAATTCTTGCCATTTTTCCAGTTGTATATTATACCCAAAATTTATTGCCCATGCCACCATCGTTTCTTTAACCTGCTCTTCTTCCATTTTATAATCCAATAAGAATTTATACATTTTCTTTACCAATTTATCATTTGTCCCCAGAAAGATCTTATCTATTATCATTAATTTCCTGTTGACGCCCCACTCTTTCATGTCTTTCAAGTAACGTGATTGGATCTGTAAATAGGACCACCACTCCAAATCTACCCCTTGTTCTTTTAATTCTTGCCTCAATTATTATATCCTTATATGTGACATATTTTCCCTGATCAATGAGGTTTGGGTGTACTAATGCTTCTAATGTGGATAACCAAATCGGAACCTTCATGTAATTCTGCTGCTTAAATTTATTCCATATCTCCAATAAAGCCTGTTTTATAAAATGTCTTTGAAAATATTGATGTGCTACTTGTTTCCTGTACCACAAAAATGCATGCCATCCTAGATGTAGGTCGTGGCCCTCTAGCGTTAACAATCTTCTATTTTTTAAATTCATCCATTCTATTACCCAGGTGAGCATTGCTGCTTGATGATATAACTCCCAATCCAGTACACTGAACCTTCCTCTTTCTTTTGTTTCTTGTAAAAGTTTAAATTTAATCCTTGGTTTCTTCCCTTGCCAAATGTATTCCGCTGTCATTTTATTCAATTTTCCAAAATATTTTTAATCTAATTTTGCAGGGATATTCTGAAATAAGAAGAGTAATTTTCGTAGGATGTTCATCTTGATTGCTGCTATTCTTCCTATTAAAGAAAGCCTCAAATTTCTCCATCTCTCCAACTCTTCTTTTATGTGATTCATTAGTTTGGCATAATTATCTTCTTTGATTGAAGTGCATCGTGCGGTTATATAAATTCCTAAATATTTCATTTTCTTCACTATCTGTATATTTGTTCTCTTGGTCAACTCCTCCTTCTGTTTGTTCGCCATATTTTTAACTATCATTTTAGTTTTGTCCTTGTTAATTTTCAGTCCGGCTACATCTCTGTATTCTTTTAATACTTCCATAAGCTTGACGCTCGATTGTAGTGGTTCCCCAAGGATAAAAACCAGATTGTCTGCAAAAGCTTGCAATTTGTAAATTTCTTTCCTAATTTTCAGACCTTTGATTTGTGTTTCTTTCCATACTATCCTCGTTAATACTTCCAGGGACAATATGAACAATAATGGGGATACTGGGGGGATGCTTCATTATTCTTGATCCCCCACATCTGTGTGATCCTGAAGCCATTCTGAAAATTGGACTGTGTTCATTATTTGCACAACATTATGCAAATAAATTCTGCCTGTCTTGTTCATCTTCTGATTGCATGATATTAGTAAAAATATTGAAGAGGTTAGGTAGATAAAAGCATACAAGCTGAAATTTAATCCAGATAAAATGGAAGTAGTGAGAGTCAGAAAAATGCTGACCAGATGATGGTATACAGCTATTCCATTTGCATGGAACATTGTTTCTCAAGAAGGACTAAACAACTAGTTTGAGATTAAATAAACAATTTCTGTGAGATGCCTCTTTTTTATTTTCTGTAAGCTTCTGATTGGTTCACCAACCCCTATTCTATGTAGGGAAATCTGATTTTACTACAATAAGCCACATGACCTCAAGCCCTTAGCTTATAACTGAAGATTCTGACAAGGGTGAAGTTCAAATTGGTTTCTCAAAGAAAGAGTGATCAACTTTACATGTATATGGAATCCTGATGGCTAAGCTATTTTGGAGCTTTCTGAGTTTTCAGAATTATTCCAATGAATTGTTGAATCCCCACTACTGTGCCACCAGAGCTCTAATTTGGTTTTATATAAACCATCTTATTGTAATACCCTAAGTATGAAAATGTGCTTAAAACATATATGAGAAATTGAATTAGTATTGTATGTAGCTGTTAGAATGCTTGTAGAGGATAAAGTATTAATAAAGGATAAAGGTAATAGAGACAAAGATAAAAAGGATAAATGTTAATAAGGATAAAGAGAGCCAATTTGGTCTACTGGTTAAGGCACCATGCTAGAAACCGGGAGACTGTGAGTTCTGGTTCTACCTTAGCCATGAAAGTCAGCTCATTGACTTTGGGCCAGTTACTCTCTTTCAGTCCAGCCCACCTCACAGAATTGTTGTTGTGGGGAAAATAGGAGGAGGGAAGAGTATTAGATATATTAGCTGCCATGAGTTACTTATAAAATAATAAAGGTGGGATATAAATTAATTAAATAAATAAATGTTCAGATCAGTAGTGGGTTTCAATTTTGGCTGCTACTGGTTTGTTTGTGGGCACGCATGTGCATGCATGCGCAGAGAAGTCCGGGCGGGTGGGCGGAGCCTCCCACCATCACTGCTACCGGTTCGCCCGATCTGCAACCCATCACTGATTCAGATCATGTTGCACTTTCCAGAATCCTAGTTGGTTGCCTATTTGTTCCTGGACCCAAGTTTAGGTTCTGATTTTCATTCTAATATTTCTAAATGATTTAGGAGTAGGCTAATTCAACAGTTGTATTACAGGCAAGGAAGAAAAAGAATGACTTCCCTTTCTAGATAGTGATATAAGGAGATAAGATAACAGTAAATTAACAATCTGCGTATACCGAAAATCCACACACACAAACCAAATTCTAAATTTCACAAGCAACCACCCCACTGCACACAAGAGGAGCTGCATCCAGACCCTTTTCAAAAGAGCCAAAACACATTGCAGCACCAAGTCATTAAGAAAAGCAGAAGAGAAATGCCTTTTTGATGTTTTCTTCTGCATTGTCTGTCCAAAAAACTTCATAATACAATGGTTGTCATCCAAAGCCCGACAAAATATATAGCCAACCTCAACATGGAAACAAGTCCTGCCATACGTCAAAGGAGTATCCAAAATGGGTACCAGAATACTGAAATCCCTAGGAATAATGATAGCTCACAAACCCATCTTTACATTCAGACAAATGCTATCTAGGATCAAATATAAAACACGGAAGGAAGACAACAGCAACATGGCATGCAAAATCAATTGCAACTATTGTAACCAGTTCTGTGTTGGACAAATAGGAAAATAATTGAAAACAAGAATTCATGAACATCTACTAGCAGTCAAACGGCATGACCAAAAATAGCAAAAACCTTAGACTTACAGTATATACCGCTTCACAGTGCTTTACAGGCCTCTCTAAGCGGTTTACAGAGTCAGCATATTGCCCCCAACAATCTGGGTCCTCATTTTACCCACCTCGGGAGGATGGAGGGCTGA